TTGATTTTTTTTCTTCTCTCTGTACTTTTTATAGTTTTAAAGAAAATTAGTTTCATCGAATCAAATAGTCAAGATAAACATGAAATAAAAGAAGAAACGTGATATTTTTCAATGAAGAAAACTAGTAAATATTTGGAAGGATAATAAAAAGAATTGAAATTTTCTCAAATCTCCACATAAAGAAGTGAAAAACAAATAAACAAATAAAGAGCATATATTAAAGTGAACAGACATTACAAGTCCTAAAGGGAAATTTATTATTCAGTATAATAACTAAACTAAGGAAATAACAAAAAGGATAATAAACGTAAGTTACAAAAAAAATTATATAAGTCTGAAAGTTATTGTCAAAAAGGAAGCTATTAATACCATTTGTGGTGGTCATTTAGTAAAGATTTGTTGTATATAACATTTTTCCATATATATATCTAATACAAGTACAAATGAACAAGTGTGTATGTGTGTAGATAAAAAAATTTCTAAAATAAAAGACATATTTTTTTTTGTATTTTATTTCTATTTGTAACAATTGGTACTTTTTAAGGGCGATAATGTCCGATGAAAATACCAAAAATATTGTTATTTGTGAGTAATTTAATTTGATTAAAAGAAGATATAAGTCAATAAATTTTCGTACATGGTTTTATATGCTGACGATAAATATATTTTTAATCTGAAAGAAAATTCAATAGAATAAAAAAAAAAATTTTAATTTTTATTTTTAAAATATGAAAAGTTTTAATAGTAAAATTAAAAATATTTTTGCAATAACAGATTAAGAATATATTTGCAGGAATGTTGAGATGACTTTATCATTTAATTTTTGAAAGGCCATTTTTATTTTGCTTAAGCAGATTTCCTGCTGAATCATGTATAACAGTAAGATTTGATTTAAGCTGAAATAAGATAGATAGCTGAGAAATTTCTTCCTTCTGCTACCTTAGAAAAATTTGAAACACTTGGAATTTGCTGTTTAGGAGAAAACTTTTACTTAAAATCTAAAAAAGAACAGATGTTTTTTTTGTTTGAATTAAAGAAATAAGAATATCAGATTCTTATGCTTGTGTTATTCCGAATTTTTTAAGTAAAGCATGTGTAATACTGCCCGCGGATATCACAATATCGTCAAGCGAGCTCAAAGTCTCTTCAATCTCAACTATCTCTGCCTAAACGACATTCGGCAAGCGGAAGAAGAGTTTAACATGCAATCGCTCGAAGTAAACTCCCGTGTAAAAATGGATGGACTCGCCCCGATATTAATACTAAATATTGTCATAAACCAATAAAAATAACTACATATTTATGGTTGAACATGCTATAATAATGTTTTTATAGCATGTTCAACCATAAATATGTAGTTATTTTTATTGGTTTATGACAATATTTAGCATTAATTATGGCGTTATAACGGATTAGGTTTCTTTTCACCATATATTGTAATCAATTAAAAGTTTAAGTAAATAAATTAAATTTGTAACGATACCATACCATATTTGAAGTTATTGTTTTGGTATAGTTTAACTACAACTTCAGTGTATTATACTCGTAATGTGACATTTATATAATTTTTCATTAAATTGTTTATTTTACTTATTATTTATTTGTTATATAATTTTTTGCCTGTCAACTATATTTATTTGTTTTATAATTTCTTATAATTTCAGTCCTACAAAATCAATTCACTTTATTCGATTAAACAATCAAATTGGAAATTTTACCTAGTAATTTTATGATTATCTATTTTAGTTATTAAACAAATGTTTTAAGGATAATATGATAAAATTATTTTCTATTTGTAAATTTATTATTATTTGGATTACATCTGTTAAATGTGATTCTGGATATCAAATTCTATTAGATATTGAAAGACGTCAAACAAATTTATATACACAAGAACATAGTCATTTTTTTACAGAATATTTTAAAGAAATTAATTTACTGCAAGTATTTAATTTGGAACGTGAAAATTATATCAAAATAGGAAATTTTTATGCAGTTGATTTTATAAGAGAACTTTTACCAAAAGTTTTTCCCGATATGGATTTTCCAGTATTACGAAAATCATTAAAATTAACACATGAAGAAAAAATATTTGATCACACAGAGAGATTTGCATGGAATGGTAAAATATTTAATATGAGACCAGGACAATGTAATTGTACAGAAACCTTCACAAATCGTCAAAAAATATTAAAAAAAGCTGAAACATTTGATAAAAGAATGGGCTCTATTGTTATTGCTAATGAATTATCAATTATTAATGAATATTTAATTGGTATACCAAGGATACCATTTCAAAATCCTAGTGCAAATTTTGTTGTTAATATATCAGAAGAATATCAAGTTGAAAATTATGAACTTTTAAAGAAAATATTTTTAAAATTATGGAATCTTTATGGTATTTTACGCTTAGTTATTATATTCAATGGAGGAAACAATAAAGTATATCTATATTCATATATACATATACATAAATATTATTTAGGTCAGAAAAGTTTATTCAAGTTTCTCTTTCAGAAAGTTGTCTATTCAGATCCTTTATCATTAAATGAGAATGGAAATTATGGAAAAATTATTTTTGAAGATTTCGGAAACAATTCACAAAGTTTTAAAATTACTAATCCAAAATATCCGATCACTTTTAATGGATATCCTTTGAAAGTTTTCTTCTTCGAAAGATATCCTTCGGCAATGTATTGGAATACATATTATCCTATGGCATTTTTAAAATCATATCAAAGCGATGCTAAGGAATATTCAACTTGTAAGTATCTTATAACATAGGTATACTTGTATATATACAGAGTGTAAGTGATTTTTTAATTTATTGCATCATAATAGAGTGATTTTACTTGGATTTTAATTGCAAAACAAAACATTTGTGACGTTGAAAGAAAATTTTGTAAAATTTTGAGTTATGGGAGGAGGGAAGATAGGAGGTGCTTCATTACACCTCCTCCTTTAAGAACGTTCAGCTTTGGATTTGGACGAATCTGAGGCGGTTTTTGTCAAATAACCATTATTTCGTATTATAGAACGTTCTCCAATATTGTTTTATTAGATAAAAATTTTTTTTTAAAAATTTATGTAATATTTCCGAACATTCTTTGAACATGAATCTTAAAAAATATATGTAATTATTAGGTTTTGCCAAGGGTAAATAAGATGTAAATAAAATGTTGTTGTATCGCTATTAGACACCCTGTAAATTCATATTGAATAAATATTTAAAGGATATAAGTAATTTGATTTTATTACAATAAAGATTGTTCCGGATTACATTTATATGAACTACAAAACCATAAGGTTGAATATTTTCTTCAAGGATATACGGATGTTGTGCAGTATACCTACTTAAATTTTTGAATTAATTTTCTTTTTATATGTTTATTTTATATTTCTTTCTCTTTTCTTTTTTTTTTTCATTATTCAGTCTTTGGTGGTTTTGATGGTATTGTTATGGGAAATATTGCAAAACTTTTAAATTTTACAATCATAACAAAATATCCTACGGCCAATGAAAATAATACAAAATATGGTGTATTGGCTAAAAATGGTACAATATTAGGATCTGCTGGCCATGTAATGTATTCAAGAGTTACAATTGGTGGTAATGGTCATTTTATACAAAGTTATAGAACAATTGCAATAACATTTTTAAATCCAATTTATTATGATTTAATTTGTATAATAACACCGAAAGCAAAACCATTACCAAAATATATGGCAGTTATAAATTGTTTTAGTGCAATATCATGGACAACTATTTGTACATCTTACATTGTTTTCGGAATATTATGGTATATTTGTAAAAATATTAATTATAAAATATTATTAGATGAAAACAATTTATTTAAGGATAAAATTATTATTCAAAATAATCAAAGAAATAAATTAATTTTTAATATTATTGATATGTGGCTGCTATTAACAAGTTATTCAATTAATATTCAGAAATCAAAAGGATTTGAAAGGTTTCTTTTAGTTGGTTGTATGCTATCCAGTATATTATTCAATAGTACATTTCAAGGATATTTATCAAAATCTTTTTTTAAAATTACATACGAAAAGGATATAAAAACATTAAAAGAATTAAATAATGCAAATCTTAAAATTGCAATTCCATCAGAAGCTTTCGGTGATTTATTTGGTAATAAAAATTCATTGAAAGGACTTTTAGCAGAACTGGATAAAAAAGTTATTATTAAGGATGATGAGCAACGATATGATGCAATGAATTATAGGAATGTGGCATTTGTTGAAAGAAAAAGTGATTTTGATGTTATAAAGGTGGGTATATTTATTTGTTTTTATTGTATATCTTAGACTTTTTTCAATTTAGAAATTACAAATTTTAGAAAGCTTTTTTAAACACATACCACTTTTGTTTCAGGAAGAATTTGAATATCCGAATGGTACAACATTTTTAAATTTGGTTGATGAATGTCCTCGAATTACCTTTTTATCATTTATTGTTCGACGTGGCTGGGCATATGAAGAGAAATTCAACCGAATTTTGGGACTCATAGACTCCGGTGGTAAATTGATTACAATTTACCAAATCATTGAATCAAATATTAAAAACATCTTACATATTAAAAACTTTTCACAGGTTTTCGTAACAAATGGTTTAGTTGGTCTAAACGTGCTATATTGTTAAAATGGCGTCTTAAAAATCTTAAAATAATGGTTGCAAATTATCGTGAAAAATCTTTTACTGTAGATGATATCAAAATTGCAATTTTAGTGCATATAATTGGAAATATTATATCTTTAATAGTTTTTATTTTGGAAAATGCATTTAATTTGCTTATAAAATTTAACATAATTAAGCGGAAAAATTAAATATTTTTTTAAAAGATATTAAATAAACTTAATTTTGTGTGAAAAATTTATATTAATTTTTCAGTGATATGTATTTAAAGGATAACAATTCTAATACGAAAATAGAAAATGCCACAATATTACCAAAAATAAATATGTAGTAAGCCATTTGAATGTCATAATAACAAAATGGTTTCCTATATGATACAAAATGTGATCTGTTAATTTCTTTTAATTTAATTTTGTAATATTTTGCTTCTTTTATCCATTTTAACCATATTGATCTTAATCCACTTGAGTTAATGAGACCAAGCATACGATTGAATTTTTCTGTTAATGACCATCCCTTTCGGACAATATATGTTAATGAAAATGATCTTGGACATTCTGGTATTAAATGTAATCGAAATGTTCCATCTGGCCGTTCATATTTGTGCTATAATATTGAGAATTAATTTAAAAATTAATATTTTTTTTTTATAATTGATTGAGCATACATATATACTAAATATTACCTTATGAATTTCAAATAAGGTTTTTCTATCTAAGTAACAAATTCTACCTTCATCAATTGCTTGTCTAAATTGAGTAGCATTACGTTTTAAAATCATTTTATGTTGAAAACGATGATATGAACTTGTAGATAAATCAGAATGATCAGAGAATATTATACCAATTGATGGTGATAAAAATGCAATTCTTAATCCTGTTCTATCTAATTCATCCAATGTCATTATATCTTTACGATAAATTATTGTTTTATATGATTTAACTAAAAATCCTTGAAAAACACCATTTAATATTATTGCCAGTGATAAACAACCCATTAAAAAATATTTTTCAAGATATGATCCAATTTTTGGTCCTTTAATTGGACAATTAAACATTAATAACCACATATTAAATATTAATGGCCAATTTGATAATTCACTTGGTGATTTCTTATTATAATTTTTTGAAAATTTTCGAAAATAAATCCATAAAATACCAAAAATAAAATTCATTAGTATTATAAAAGCCCATGTCTGTGGTTGAAAACATGTAAAAACTGCCATGGACTGTGGTATAATATCGGCTTTTGGTGCAATAACACAAAATTTATCTGTTAATAATCCAGTCAAATATTCAATTTCATTTGTATTATAATCCATTATAAAATGTGTATTCATTGTAATATCAGCTTCAGAATACATAACACGTCCAATTGTACCAATAAAACTTTGATTTTTTAATTTATATCCAAAATCATAAACAGATTTTATAATATAAGTAACATTTAGAATATCCGATAATGTTGTATATAGGATTCCATCAAAATCTCCTGCACCTTAAAAATTACATACATGCATATATTAAAAACACAAAAAGTAGTGTACAATTTTATGTTTTATACACATACCAAAATCAGCTCCTCTTCCATTATAATTTTTTAAATAATGTTCTGGGTATTCATTTTCTAAAAGTTCAATTCTTTTAACAGAGGATATTCTAATAGGTATGGCATTGAATGTTTTTGGATAATTTTTTAAAAATATTTCACATAACTTTGAAGTATTTGATTTATTCATACTAATATTAGTGAAGTGCAGCTTATTTGCCACTTCAAATGGCGTATAATAATAAATTTTCTGAAAATAAAGACATTAACAATATATTAGAATGGAGTTAGGGTGATTTCCATATATTTACTTACCCTTATATTTCCATGAATCATAATTAATATTACGGCTCTAAGAATACCAGCACGAATCCATAATTTTTCAAAAAGTTTTTTAGTAAAAAGATTATTTTCAAAATCTTTCAGTAGATTATTTGTTATTAAAATTATATAATAACCATCAGAATGTTTAAATGGTTGCCTTAAAATTCCTTTTAAATAATTCAAAATAATATCAAAATTCTCCACAATAATAAAAATTCCAATATTTCTTTTTAGTATATTAAGATTTTTTATATTATGCGAAAGTCTATTATTTCTTTTATTTTTCATAAATTTTTTCCCGATTAAGCTTTTATTTATAAATGAATTTCCATTCCAATCATAATAATCAGAAAACTGTTCGATTTCTTCTTGAAAATTCATTCTATAATTATTCATTAAAATTGAAAATTGCTTGTAGCTAAAAATCCATTTTGTTATTGAATCTATTATTCGCGAATTTAGACTACTTGGTAATCTTGTTGAATTTTCATAAATTCTTACAATTTGAATATAATTTAAATTATTGAAATAACATGGATACAAAATTTTATGAAGATCTTTTGTAATTGTCATTGGCAAGGAATTTAAAAAGTTAGATTTCGTTGGCATAATAAAAACGCAGATTAAAATTATTAAAAAAATCATAATTAAGAATTGCGAATCATTTTACTTTCCACTTAAAGACAAAATAAATTCCGTGACTATAATTTTTTAGTGCAATGAGTTTGTTAATCAATTATTTGTTTAATGTTTCAATAGTTTATATTTACTTAACTTTTCTTTATTGTTTAATTATTTATTTTAGTATTAATTGGTCGAAATATTAATGAGAATAATAATGAAAACAATAGGTTATACCTTTCAAATATACTTAAAAAATGATTGCGTTGTATTAGAGGGCACTTAACACTATAAATTAGCGTAAAAGCTAATTTTTAAATAATTAATGCACGTAACTACTCCGCTAATTTTTCATGATAGGGTGGTGTATAGCTACATATATAAACTAACAAAACTATTATATTGTACAAATATTTTAGAAATATATGTATTGTTAAAGATTTAAATAATTACACTAATTTCATATAAACGTTAATTTCAAGTAATTTTATTTATATGTTCCCATTCTTATATTTGATTCAATGCAAATTGTAGCATCCTCTAATTATTAATTCAACAATTTTTCTTTAAATATATCAACATATTTAATTAATATTTCAGAACAAATTTATATAGTATAATTAATAAGTTTTTCAAAGAAATTGCAACAAAAATTAATAAAATACTTGTATTTCAGAATAAACTTAATATTATGCTAATTTAAAATACATTTACTTTAATATTATAATTTCTACTTAATTAAAATTATCTGTAAAACTCTCTAAACTATATTGTGTGTACATGTTATATCAATTCTAATGGCAAACCATCTTTAACATTATAATTATCTTTTATACACACAGGAAGTTTTTCTTCATATTATTAAATTATTGTTAATAATAAACACAAATAATAAAATAAAAGTAATTATAATTATAATTTTTCCTTATTTAAATTCAATACTAGTTTGATATCGAGTATGAAAGCGATGTAATCATTTCAATTTAATCTTAAATTCAAATGGGGACCCAATCTAATGTGTGGACAGAATGCTGAAGGAAATATCATGAAATTTAATAACATATTAGTAAAATATATAGGGATAAAATGATTATATGTGTACATATTATATAATATTTTACCAGATTCTATATTACTAGATCTTAACCAGTCACCAGTCGATTTAAATTAAAAATATTTTAAGTTAAATTATAGTAATAGTAAATTTTCGAACATTTTTAACATAATGTTATTAATTTTAGACCTCATACCTGTACAGAAAAGATAAAATAGAAATTATAAATATAAATTTTACAACATATAAGATTTAATAAAAAATCCAACCTTGTATTTAAATAGTAAGTTAATTTTCTTTTCAATAAAAAAACGAAACACTGAATTCTATTTTGGATGCCGCTAAATAATTATAACTGTCATATCATGAATTGTGAATTGCATTATTATGCAATTTTATAATTTTTTACGCTCTTAATTTTTTCCTTTTGCAAACATTTAAATAAATTTTATTCTACCTTTCTCCTTTTTCATAGTACCTATTAGGTAATTATTTTTATTGAGTTTTTTTCCCTACATCTTAAAATTTTTTATTCTAGAGGTATCTATGCATTAATGCTTGTATGTGAGTATAGCTATTTACATAATTGTAATACATATTTAAAGTCTAATGTGTTGCTGTTTCACTTAACATTTTCTAATTATAATGTTGCTTTTACAATCTTTTAATTTCTAGATGTTAGGTATATGTATGTAGTTTAACATATTTTTCGTGCCAGAGTAGTAACAATATCATAATCTTCTATTCAAATACTGGATACATACTTTACAAAAATTGTTGATATATGTATTTTTATAATGGAAATTCCCTCTGGCCTACAAAAATATGTTTAGAAGGCTGCTTATGTGTAGAAGGCTCTTGATTTATGAAGACTCTTGAAGAAGCTTATTTATACGAATTTGACTGCGCTGACCGATTGCGAGTTCTTCATTCTTTTTCATTTCATTTTATTTTTTTTTTTAATTTATTTGATGTTGCATCCTATTGGTTTCTTTAAAGTTGTGGAAGTTTTTGTCTTATTTTTAAATGAAAAATATTTGACTTAAAATTGAACCAACTCTGGTACACTTAGACTGACAATATAATAATGGAGCTGCCAGCATTAATGATTTTAACTCATCATATTCACAATATTAACAGTACTATATTTGCAGCGCCACTAGTGGACGGCCCAAATGAAATGCAAACAGCACTGTGATTCAATATAACTTTTTAGAAAAGTAAAAGGAACATTAACACGACTTTTTATTAACTCAACATATTAAAGTAAAACGAACATTAACACAAAATATTATTAACTCAAATAATTTCATTAAAATTAAAACTTAAATATTATTTAATACCCTTAATCCATATCTGATATCTTTATATTACAATTACTATGTAAATATACCTTAAGGCTATGCGAATATTCAAATTAAAAATCAATTTTAATGCAATTTCCAAGTTATTTCCCCCATTATCAATTTTAAGTTAAGTATCATAACCTAATATTATGTTTAGCTTTATATGTGGCATATCAAATCAACTTGTCTCATCACATGTCATCATGCAAAAATATAAAAAAGGGAATAATAAACATTTATTAAAAATATGCTGAAACCAGATAATTTTCTTCATAATCGTTTGTTTCTTATGCTTTCATTCAGTAAAGAATTATACTTGTAGTAAGCAACATGTATGAGCCTGGAAATTTTATATTCATACATATGTATAACGTATATAAGTTTTTTTAACTTTATTCTTATACGGTCGATTAACTTATCTAGAAGTTATTTTTATTTTTTATTTTTAAATAAAACAATTATTGCGGCTTTTCTTGTTTATACTTACAAGTTTGATATGAACATTTTATAAAAAATTATTGGCTTTACACGCACTAGATATACTACTAGTCAATTATGTACAATCGGGCACATATAACAATTGCTTATGTATGAACATCAACAATATACGAGTACAATATATAAAAATATCTTCTTGTACAGTTCAGGCAGATGGTTTAAATTTTTTCAAGTGAAAACATAACATAAATTTTATAAAAACAAGTAAAAACGTTTCAGTCGGTATAAACCGATTGAATTATACCCTGCACCTTTCGTTATTGTGTAGCAATTACTCGAACCTGTGAGATCATTCTATAGAAACTTCACGGACATGTCTGACCTATGATTGGACATCCGACTGCCAAGTTTCATCAATCTGACCTTATAATTTTTCAAAATATTTAAAATTGGCTTTTGGAGTTGTATGGTAAGTACCTAAACCTGTCAAGCAATTCCATCAAAACTTCACAAATATATCTGATCTATAATCGGACAAACAACTGCCAAGTTTCATGAATCTGACTTTATTATTTTTCCAAATATTAAGAATAAGCTTTTAGACTTGTATGGGATCTAATCGAACCTGTTAAGCAATTCAACCACAACTTCAGAAATATGTCTGACCCATAATTGGACACATGACTGCCAAGTTTCATGAATCTGACTTTATTATTTTTCCAAATATTAAGAATAAGCTTTTAGACTTGTATGGGAGCTACTCGAATCTGTCAAGCAATCGCACCAAAACTTTAGAAATATGTCTGACCCATAATTGGACACACGACTGCCAAGTCTCATGAATTTGACTTTATTATTTTTCCAAATATTTAAAATAAGCTTTTGGGGTTGTATTGCAAGTACCCGAACCTGTCAAGCAATTCCACTAAAACTTCACAAATATATCTGATCTATAATCGTACACACAACTGCCAAGTTTCATGAATCTGACTTTATTACTTTTCCAAATATTTAAAATTAGCTTATGGAGTTGTATGGCAGGTACCCGAACCTGTCAAGCAATTCCTCCAAAACTTCGGAAATATATTTGACCTATAATTGGACACATGACTGCCAAGTTTCATGAATCTGACTTTATTATTTTGGCGAATATAAAAAATTTGCTGTTGGAGTTGTATGGCAGCCACCCGAACCGGTGCAGCTATCCCATTATAATTTTTAGAGCATGTGTAGAATATAATTGGACACATTTATACAAAATTTTATATTTATAGCTTTATTAGTTTTTGAAATATTTAAAATAAACTCTTGGAGTTATATGGCAGCTACCCGAACCCGTTGTCCGACTTAATCCAATAACAATAGGGTTCGTCCTTGGCACAAAAGAAAAAGCTTGTGAAAGTTTGGTGTCGATTGCATTATTCGTTTTTGAGTTATCGTGCGATCGGACGGACGGACGGACGGACATGTCTAAATCGACTCAGAATTTTACGCTGAGCAAGAATATATATATATGTCCATACCGCAGATGACTCCTTCAAGTAGTTACAAAC